CCCATCATTGTCCCCAAAGTGGCTTATATCATAGGGAGGTGGTGAGCTCCCCCACACTGGCAGTCTTCAAGGACTGACTGGACACACACTTCTCCGGGATGCTTTAGGCTGATCCTGCATTGAGCAGGGAGTTGGATTAGATGGCCTGCATGGGCCCCTCCAAGTCTCGAAAAGAGCAAGAGTCCAGTAGCACCTTAAAGAGTAACCAAATATGTGGCAGGGGATGAGCTTTCATGAGTCACTGCTCACTTCTTCAGATACAGTGATTCATGAAAGCTCATCCCCTGCCACATATTTGGTTAGTCTTTAAGGTGCTACTGGACTCTTGGTCTTTTCTACTGCTACAGACAGACTAACAGACTAACATGGCTGCTCCCTCTAAGCTGTGGAATCTTGTGAGCAAAAATTCTGTTTTGTGACCTATTGGCATTAAAATTGTGAGAAAGCGATTTGGCTACTGCATAAATTAGTTTGCTCTGGAGCCATCCTTCCTGAGCTAAGACAAACATGTGTGAGTTGGAGTATAAAAGACTGTGAGCTAGCTCATACTAACTCAGAGAGTGAACACTGACGGCTACCCATCTTGATCAATCCCCCCTCCTACTCTGTGATTATACGATTCTCTTCTCCTTAATTTTATTCTCACAACAACCCTGGGAGGTAGGTTAGGCTGAAAATGTGTGACTGGCCCAAGGTCACTCAGCAAGCTTCCATGGCACAAGTGGAGATTTGAACCTGGGTCTCCCAGATCCTGGTTCACTATTTCTTGTGTTTCTTGGGCTTTTGTTCTCATTGCTTGTGTTATTTTTCTCAGTACCCATATTGGCCACCTGACAAGGCAGTGAGCGTCACAATAATTTGTTTAGCCTTTAAGTTGCCCAAAGACACCCCTCACCCATTTTCAATTTGGGGTGCTTTTATTTTCTGGCCACAAGGTGGCAGTGTCTTTCCTTACTTTTTTACCTGAGCAGCTTGAAATAAAATCCGAAGCCAAACCTTGTTTTTTTCCATAGGCAATAGGAACATGTCCTTTGCATGCCCTGACCTGAATATAGGGTTGCCAACCTCCAGGTATGACCTGGAGATCTCCCAGAATTACTTCTGATCTTCAGGGATCTGTTCCCCTGGAGAAAACTGCTGCTTTGCAGGGTGGTCTCTATGGCACTATATCTCTTTCTCCTCCTCCTCCTTCATTTAAGGGGCATTTGTGCCTCCTGCCATTTCTGCACCCTCTTCCCTGGTTCTGTGCCAGTAAATGAAGCCATAGCTCCTTTCCCTTCACTTTACTCATGCAGCAGGGAAAAGGAGCTCCCAACATAAACACAAGTCTTCTTTGCTCCATACAAAAAGTTGCAGAGGCTTTGCTTCCCCACCCCACCCGGATGAGAATCGGAGTGTGCACATTCTGTAGGTTTGCCAGGTCCCTCTTGGCCACCAGCAGGGGGTGGGAAAGTGGGTTGCCAACTTCAGGTTGGGAAACTCCTGGAGATTTGGGATTGGAGCCTGGGGAGGGCAGGGACCTCAGTGGGATACAACACCATAGAGTCCACCCTCCAAAGCATCCATTTTCTGCAGGGGAACTGTTCTGCATAGTCTGGAGATGAGCTGCAATTCTGGGGGATCCCCAGGTGCCACCTGGAGGCTGGCATCCTTAGCACTTTGCTCTGGCTTTCACCACATACACAGGTTTCCTCCCTTCATTCTTACATGTACGTATTGTGTCGATAAAACACCGCAAAAAGGCAATCTCAACGTGATGGTATGTACATCTGGAGCAAGATTCTTTTCCGGTGATGTTTCACTGATGAGCACATGGGCTTCTGTGCAAAGACAGAACACTGCACCCAGATGAAACCTGTTGCAATTTTGAATTCTTCATCTCTGTGCAATTTGATCAGAGAGTCGCCATTTCGATGTGGCTACTCCTTTCTGTAAACTGAAAGCATTTTCAATTATTTTCATCCCACTTTCTTTCACTGGGTTTTATTGGGCCACGTTTTCCCTATGAAATACGCACCACGTTTCCAGCATTATTTGCGCATCGGTGCATTAGCATCACACGTTGTATGCATAAATGACTTACATGCACCACTGTAAGGTTTGCATTTAAAGCAGCGCAATAGATGCTCACAATGCAGAAGGACCTGCGAAAGCTCCAGCAAAAAGGGGAGAATTGAAGCAGCCGACAAAAATATTACAGAACGTAAATAGAAATCTAAGGGACCGCCTCTCCTGGTACATCCCCCACAGAGTTTTACACTCAGCAGATTGAAATAATCTAGGGACCCCCCCAGCCCAAATAGATATCCGCTTAGCCTCAACCAGAGCCTTTTTGGCACTGGCACCGGCCTGGCGGAATGCTCTCCCAGGTGAGAACAAGGCCTTGCGGGACTTAATGCAGTTCTTCAGGGCCTGTAAAATGGAGCTGTTCTACCAGGCCTATGGTTTGCTGTAGTGGCTAAGTGCACAGACTCTAATCTGGGAGAACCGGGTTTGATTCCCCACTCCTCCACTTGCAGCTTCTGGATGACCTTGGGCAAGCCATAGTTCTGTCAGAGCTGTTCTTGAAAGAGAGCAGTTTCTGTCTGAGCTCTCTCAGCCCCACCTCCCTCACAGGGTGTCTGTTGTGGGGAGGGGAAGGGAAAGGAGTTTGTAAGCCGCTCTGAGACTCCGAGTGAAGGGCAGGATATAAATCTAATCTCCTCCTCCTCCTCCTCCTCCTTCTTCGGTTGAGTCTGCAGTAACCATCTGGGCTGACCTCCTTCTGTGCTCTTCTTTTCTTGTCTGCTTGTCCTGCTCCTCTGTATCATTTTGACATCTATTATTGCACCTGATGCAAAAACCCCTCTGGGGTATATTAATCTGTTCTAATGTTTCAGCTGCCATCGGAGATTGATATTAGACCCTGTTCTTAATGTTGATTTATATTTATTGTTTTAAATATTTTTATTGTTATTGATGTCACCCGCCCCGAGCCTGCTCGCTGGGGAGGGCCAGCTATAAGTCAAATCAAATCAAATCAAATTGGGCAACTTCAACTCAAGGGGGAGGGCTGTGGCTCAGTTTAAGAGACGCTGATTTGCATGCAAAAGGTTCCAGGTTCAACCACCACCCGTGGCCTCTCCAATAAAAAGGATCAGGTTGTAGGGGATGTGAAATACCTGCCTGAGACCCTGGAGAGCCGCTGCCAGTCTGAGTAGACAGCAATGACCTTGATGGACGGATGGTCGGATTCAGTAGAAGGCGGCTTCACATGTGTTCATGCGTAACTCACCCCTAAAACCATGCATACCAAGGTTGCTTTTTCACAGTATTTTCTTCAATGCAAATGCAGGTGATGGTGAAGGTGGAGAAGAAAGAAGATGGGACAGAAAGAGGCAGTGTCAAATGATGCCTCACTTTGCTCACCTTGGTTGCCATAGTTATTGGGGGGAGGGAATTCCTGCGGGGAGAGTGAATGAGTGAAAGCATGGGACCTTTGCTTCTAGAAGTCATCACTTTCTTTGCAAGTCGCACCTCCTTTCCCTTTCCCAGTGTAAGGTGTCCTTGAGAGCATAACATAAGAACATAAGAGAAGCCAATGTTGGATCAGGCCAATGGCCCATCTAGTCCAACAGTCTGTCACACAGTGGCCAAAAATATCAGGTGCCATCAGGAGGTCCATCATTGGGGCCAGCTTCTCTGTACCAGCTTGAGCTACAGATCACCAAGACATATATCTTTCACTTGGTTGGGATGGCAACGTTAGGTGTGGTGTGAATGTGACGTACGCTTGGGGAAAGGAAGGGGCTTTTATTCGAATTATCTATATTAAGCTTGTACCCGCCAAAAGTCTTCAGTTCTAACACAGTGACTTTCTGGATCTTGCATATATCTCAATAAACTTATCACTGCCAAGAGAGAGTTGTTGAGACTTAACTGGACTGGGGGTCTGACAGGGAACAATGTGGTATACAACATGTAAGCTCTTTTTAAAAAAAGGAAAAGTTGAGGGTTTTAATGCAATGGTTCCACTTCAGAATCAAGACCAACCAGATAATTCAGGACTCAAAAATCCGAGGGAGAAATTCAGGTGAAAATTTTACTGTTCCATGTTTTTACCCAGGGTGGTTAAATAGCCACTTTTTTTCTTTTTGCTGTCCTTTATTATTATTTTCTTTCTTTTGTGCCGTTTTCACACCATTTTAATATTATTGATATACAACCAGCATACAGAACAAGTATGGTTGCCAGCCTTCAGGTGGTGGCTGGAGATCTCCTGGAATCACAGCTGATCTCCGGGTTACAGAGATCGGTTCCCTTGGAGAAATTGGCTCCCGTGGAAGATGGCCTCTCTGGCACGGTACCCCATGGACATTCCTCCCTCTCCAAATCCTGCTCTTTCCAGGCTCCACCCTCCTCCCAAATCTCCAGGAATTTCTCAACCCAGATCTGGCAACCCTAAGAACAAGGCTATGTTCTTTTTAATCAGAAAAACAAATTGGTGCATGGAGATGTAAAATGCTGTAAAATAAGGATTCAGGTTGTTTCTCCCAAAGAAAGATCAACATCTAAACAGGAATGTTGAAACAGAAAACTGGCAAGCTCGTGAGATCCAGGCTCATCCCTAACACCAAAATAAGGTCCTACCACCTCCCTGGCTGGCTTCCCGGCCCTGATGTCTTTCCAGCAGTGGTTTTTTAAATACCTTTTGCTGCTCAAATCCTAACTCAGATTCTTCCTTCGGTTCCCTTTCTTTGCCAGCTTTTGTGCTTTTGCTTTCTCAACTTGGGCAAGTTAATCTCGTTCGGCTCACATGCATCCTCCGTGAAAGGTGCAGAGCAGTCACCTCTCCCATATGTGCGCACACGTTGTATGGCATGTTGGGAATTCGTGTCGGACAGCCAGGCACAACACAAGAGGCTGTTCCATCTGTCCCTGTCACTCCCAGGCTGCAGCTCCTCCTCTTCACTATAAAAACCCGGCAGGCAAGAGAAGCCAGGCAACCGATTCTCCAAGAGGCACCTGGAAAAAAAAGAAGCACACACTTTTCTCTGGAGTCTCTGCTTGCTCACTCCTTTCCCTTGGCTGCTTATTCCTGGGCATAAACTCCAAATGTTGGTCCAACTGAGGACAGCTTTTCAACAGGCTGGGAAGATGTCCGAATGCAACCTGTCCAAACTGGAAGCCAACATCCTTGTCATTGGAGCTGAGAAAGTGGGGAAATCAGGTGAGTTGCTTGGAGGAGAGCCTGCGACGTTTAGACAGCTACCTAGTCCGAACAATTGCTTCTGTGAACTGTATTTGCCTTGGGGCAGGGATCTGTCTCTCAGTTTATGCCATAAAGCCACAAAGCTGTAGAGAAGAGTCAGAGCAGTAGCCGTGGGGTTGAGCTTTGAATGAGGAAATCTCTCCTTCAGATCTTGTCTCTTGCCCTGAGTTCACTAGGGGGGCTTAGGCAAGCCACTGTTGCCTCAGTCCTTCCTTCTGAAATATGGGCATAATCATATCAACCTACTTTACAGGGTGGTTGCAAGGTTTCCAGTAAGATCACAGATGGGAAGCACTTCAAACGTTCAAAAAGTGCTACTATGTAAAATGAATTCTTATTGTTCCACTCTGTCTATGCTTTATTATTATTGATTATATGTACAATGACATTGAAGTACAGGATGCAAAAGGCAGATCCTTTTCTGCAAGGACTCTAGATTTAGACCAGGGCTGGGAGGGCGCAGAGAAGAAGAGAGAAATAAGGGATGAGTTCTGACTGTTGAAGGGGAGAGTTTATACTGTCAGCGGCATGGCGTGTACTGGGGCAGAGGTACCACTTAGCCATGCACTACAAGAGAGCTGTTCAGCCTCCACTAAATTTCCACATTTAGATGCTGAGATGTGAAAGTGGGAGAGCAGTACGTTTTAACACCCATATCTGTCCCAATCATGTGCACGGTGGTGTGGAGTGTGATTTTAATAGCAAAAGATGTATGGGGGTGCAAGATACCAAACCCTCAACCCCCACCGGCAATTTGCCTCCCCCAATCTCTTCCCACAGATGTTTTTCTCTTCCGCTAAACTCCTGCACCAGAAATGAGCTCAGCTGAGAGCTACGGGGTGGGGGCAAAGTGGAAAGACAATAAGGAGGTAAAAGGTGTGGGAGGGGAGACCGCTGCTTCCATTACCCCCATGCTGCTTCTGCTGTTAAAAAAAAAATTGGCGCACACCTACACACCTCTTTCTCCACCTCTGGGGCACATCTGAATGTAAAATCATGGATGTGCTGCTGTTATATCCAGCCTGGTCCTCGAGGTACCATGCTGTACCAGTGAGCCTAGCGCCCCCCCTCCCCCCAACATGCCTTACAGTCAGGGCACCTTCTCAGGGTCACATAAACAATCCTGGGAACACTGCAAAGGGGAGAGGTCCTCCGCACACATGCAAAATGCCTCTCCCACACTAATAATTAACCCAAACTGCACATGGAAGGGTTTTCAGGATGGAGCATTTTAGAAATCCAGCAATGGTGAACTGAGGAAAGCCTCCTGAAAGGGAATAATATAACTGATGCCAAGTGTCTTCTGGTAGGTTGCTGGCCCCAAATCAGTATTTTGGGGTGGGTATTGTTGTCCCCACAGCAACTGGTATTCAGGGGTACACTGCCTCTCACCATGGAAGTTCCATCGGGATCTTGCAGCTAAGAACCACTGGTGGACCTGTCCTCTTCCATGAATTTGTCCCATTCTCTCCTTTACAGCCGTTTTAAAGCTACCTTTCTAAAGCTGCTCCTGGATGTTCAGGTAGTTTCCTGGCTGTTGCTCACCTTAAAATCTGACAGGTGTTTGGAAATGAAAGCCTCACACCTTCCTGGTCAGAGAGGCTTGATCGGCCATAGCTCCCGGCGCTGAGGCTTAACTTGCAAAACTGGATCTCGCCTGCGGTTGCTAAGGGCAGAGGTTCAAAATGGAACTTATAATGGAGTGATCCTTCAAAGCACATTAATTTATCAGCAGATTTCGAGAGGCCTTCTGAATACAGGATAGAAAGGATTTAAGGCACATATAAGCCCTTTTAAGTCAGTTGTTTCAATTTATCAATTTAAATTCATTTATACGCCACCTTTGTCTCTAATGGACCCCCAGAGTGGCATACATCCTTCTCCCCTCCTCCATTTTCTCATCACAACAACCCTGTGAGGTAGGGCAGGCTGAGAGAGTGACTGGCCCAAGGTCTCCCAGTGAGCTTCCATGGCAAAAGTGGGGATTCGAACCTGGGTCTTCTGGGTCTGATATTCTTAACCACTACACCACACTGGCTCTCAAACCATGCATAAGAGGAGGTGATGCTACCTGTGATCCTCCCATTATGTCCAGTTGCCTTTTTGGGTGATGAGAGCAACTCGTGTATTTCTTTTTATATATTTGTGTGTGTGTGTGCGCGCGCATGTGCTTGCCTGGAAGTCATGGTTGACTTCTGGCAACCCCTACTGGGGGCTTGGACGTTTTTCACAGAGGTGGCTTGATCAGCCTGCCTCTGCGTCCTGAGCCCTGGTATTCCTTAGAGGTCGCCCTTCCAAGTACTTACCAGAGTTGGGCCTGCTTAGCTTCTGAGATCTGACGAGATCGGGCTTGCCTGGGCTACCCAGGTCAGGGCTCGACTCACGTATTTCTTCAGCCCTGGTACACAGAAGCCCTAGTCTGGGCTTCCAACTGTGCATACCAAAGCTGAAAAAAATAAATGCATTGCTCAATTCAAACAAAATGGAGACCAAATGGTGCCTATCAGCATGGTGCTTATGAATAGCATGATCTCTCCCCTTATGCATGGTTTGAGTGCCAAAGATATGACAACTGAAAAGGGTATAATATGTCAATGCAAAGTTGTTTGTTTTTTAACTGTTTTTAATCCTGGCGTGCTTCCTCAGGAGCAAGCCCAAATGAAATGGAACTGAATTAGGGTTGCCAGCTCTGGGTTGGGAAATTCCTGGAGATTTTGGGGGTGGAGCCTGGAGAGGGTGGGGTTTGGGGAGGGGAGGGACCTCGGCAGGATATAACGCCATAAATTCTCACCCTTCAAAGCAGCGATTTTCTCCAGGGGAACTGATCTCTATAACCTGGAGGCCAGTTGGAATTCGGGGAGATCTCCAGCCACCTCCTGGAGGTTGGCAACCCTAAACTGAATGCAAACATTAGGCCAGGCAGGTTCTTTGCTGGGCATCTTGCGGGATCTCTTCCCAGCAGAGGTTTCTCCCTGGGCACAGGATCCATGTTTTTCTAATGTTGCTGTTTCTTCTACTTTTTCCAGCGTTGACAGTCCGGTTTCTGACCCGAAGATTTATTGGAGAATATGGGAATATCGGTGAGTCCACTTTACAAAGAGTCCTTCTCCTTTCCATGTCTCAGTTCTGTTACTCTTCCTTTCTCAGTCCCCTCTTTCCATATCTTTTCTTTTCTCTCTCCCCCCCCCAATTTTTGTTGCTTTTCATAGAATCACAGGAAGGGGCCATTGCAGGCCACCTAGTCCAACCCCCCTGCTCAATGCAGGATCAGCCTAGAGAGCATCCCTGACAAATGTGTAGAAAGCAGGGCTTTTTTTGGTAGAAAAAGCCCCGCAGGAACTCATTAGCATAATAGGCCACACCCTGACACCACAGCTCATTAGCATATTAGGTTGCAGCCCCCTGTTGCCAGAAGTGTGGTCATCCAGCCACACCCACCTTTTGCTTCTTATTCTGTTTACCTTGTTTGTTGTCAAAACCCAGGGCCTTTTTTTGTAGCAGGGACTCCTTTGCATGTTAGGCCACACACCCCTAATGTAGCCAATCCTAATGAGTGTCTGATGTTGGGTGTGGCCTATTATGCTAATGAGTTCCTGCTGGGCGTGGCCAACTTGGGACTGCTCAATGCAGGATCAGCCTAGAGAGCATCCCTGACAAATGTGTAGAAAGTGTTTAGACAAGTGTATAGATTCTTTCTTTCCTATTAACGTATCTTCTCATCTCTCCATGTTCCCCTCTGCAGAATCCATTTACAGTCACAACATGATGATGGGCGGCCGGGAGGTTCACGTCAGCATCTGGGACTCCGTCTACCCTCAGGTAAGATACCTCATGCTGGACTGGAGAATTTTCCAAGCTGGGGCTCATAACAAACATGGATGCCCCAGCTTCTGTCCCAACTGAAGACTCAAACAGCTTAACAATTCTTTTCGCTGCGTCCATACAGAATAATGGCAGGAAACACACAGAACACCAAATTAGGCAGTCTTGGCCTATGGGCAACAAGGGCAGCTGCCCTGGACCCTGCAGTGTTGGGCTTGGGGCGCCAGCTTCTCCCAGCAAGGAAGGTGACGGTGATTCTGCGGCCCCATTCTGGACTTTTGCCCAGGGCCCCAGAATTACTAAGACCAGCCCTAATTACACTGAGCTGCTACCGAGACACTTCAGTATGCCAGCAACAAACAGGGCAGGCTCAGGAGGTAAGGTAAGAAAAGCCCTTCTGGATTGACCCAAAGGTCCATCTAGTTCAACATGAGCAGACATTGGCCTCTAGAAAGCTGGCAGGAGAGCATGAGGGGGCAATTGCCCTTCCCACCCCACCCCACCCCCAGCAACTGGTATTTACAGGTAGATTGCTTAGAATGCAGAGGCTCTACCTAGCTATTATGGATAAAGGCCACTGATAGACTTGGGCTCGGTGAGTTTGTCTATCCCTGTTTAGAACTATAAAACAAGTGGCCATCACCATATATCAGATTCCATATGTAAACGGTGTATATAAGAACATAAAGATGTGTGTGGCGTGCACTGATTGTGGGAAGATTATAGAAGGAATTATATTGCCCAATGTAACGTGAACCCCCCTCTGTTTGAGTTTCACAGAAGTGGTGTGCCCATTGTGGAAAAACTGATTATATTGCCCAATGTAACGTGAACCCCCTCTGTTTGAGTTTCACAGAGATGGTGTGCCCATTGTGGAAAAACAGAGATATATAATAGTTTGAAGGTGGCAGGCAAGGACAGATGGATTTCCAAGTTTCAGAAACCAAACTAGGACCAGCCATATTAAAAAAGTTCTTCCATTGGGGCTGTAATTTGATATAGCCAGTCAGTGAAATTCAAAGTGGATGAGAGGGAGGAGTTTAAATTAGGGTTGTCAAACACCAGGCGGAGCCCAGAGATCTCCCAGAATTTCAGCTGATCTCCAGACAACAGAGTTTGGTTTGCCTGGAGAAAATGGCTGCTCTGGAGGGTGGACTCTATGGCATTATACCCCGCGGAGGTCCCTCCCCTCTCCAAACCCTGCCCTCCCTGGTCCTTCCCCCAAATCTCCAGGAACTTCCCAACCCAAAGTTGGCAACCATATGGACAGCCACAGAGGGTCTGCTGATGTTTAATACTTATCCTGCCTGACACTTCTTTGATCATTTATGCCACATTAATTTCCCCAAAGGAAGAATTCTATAATCTGGTTAGGCCTAATTCAGTTCTTGGAAGCCTGGAAGTGGACTTCCGAGGTTGCCACGGCAACCTGAGGAAGTCTTAAGGATGGCCATTCTGCTTCTCCTCGCTAATTCTGGGTTCTCCCTCTGATCTCCACAGACAGCCGAGTTCCAGGGCTGCATGAATGAGAAGCAGGTCCGCTGGGCCGACGGTTTCATTCTGGTCTACAGCATCTGTGACCGCACCAGCTTCCATTTTGCCCGCCAACAGCTCCAGCAGATCCAGCAGCTGAAGAGGAGAAGAGGGGCCGTGAAAGTGCCCGTTATCCTGGTGGGGAACAAACGGGACTTGCAGCACCGGCGAGCCGTTTCCAGCGAGGAAGGACGACTCTTGGCTCTTTCCACAGACTCAAGCTTTTTTGAGATCTCTGCTGCAGAGACCTACCACGGAACCTTGGTGGTCTTCCACGAACTTCTGGACATGGTGCGGGATTCCCGGAGCTCCGCCAAAAAGACTGTGAGCATCCGAGGACTCGTACGGAGCATGTCAGCTGTCTTTGGGAGAAGGAGGACTGATTGAGGTGGCCTGGTGAGGGGAAAGCCAGGAATAAAGACAGGATTCTAGAGACACCTGGAGCAGTAAGTGCAGTGGTGGCTGTTCAGCTACATGAACTCGGAATCTCAGATGAAGTTGCCACAGAAGGGAAACGTGGAAGGTTCCCGCACCAGGTTCCAGGAACTACGGACAACTACAAATGTACCAAATGTTTACCATGTCCTTTTTGGCTGGGGAGAGTAATGTGAACAATAGCTAACTGTATTTTCTCTTGCCGGCATGATTTTGCATCTTTGGAAATCCTTGTGTTTCCACTTTCAAAACAGTGTTATCATGGCTTAGCCTCAGAACTGGGTTTTAGTGTGAAAAAGAATAAAGAGGGTGCTTTTGACCATGCGCAGAATGCCATTCTGTGGTTGCCAAGCAGCCACAACCAGCTCCGATATGGGGGGGGGGGAGCAGGCCTTCCAAGTCAGACCATATGACTTTCATGCAGGCGTGACCCCAGCACTTCTCTTCATAAAAATAATTCCTTTGCAAGTTAGCTGATTTGAAAGAAGCCAGGCAATTATATGACTTCTTGAAGGCTCACAATGTTGCTGTGAAACCTTTCGGAGACCCCGCAGGGATTAGTGAAATGATTAGGTTGATTGGGAACAAAATAACGGGGCTCAATTGATCTCATGTCAATTCAGTGCAAGAACCCTGCTGAATCTGACAGCGTGAGACACCAGCCCGCGCACAGAACTTTTGCCGTAATTACGTGCTTAAAGGTAGAGGCACTGCCACACCGTTTCGAGTTTTATGCACAGCATATGATGAACACCACTGAGATGGTTTCTGATCTCAGTTGCACACAAAGTAATTTCTCTTTCATAAGACGGGTGGGACAGCTAAGTAGCAGAGCTTTCCAGAATTTTTTTTAAAAATGTGCATGGAGAAAAAAAAATCAACATTTTCGTTTCTGCTAAAGAAAACTGAAAATGTTTTATCGTTATTGCTTGTTCATCATGCAAGTTTGCGTGTAAACTTTAGAAATAAAATGCAAAATAGACCTCGCCCCATTTTACAACCAGAAATATATATATATCTGTATGTATATTTAAATACAATTGTATAATGGACAAGGTCTAAAGAAATGTACAGCTCGTTATTTGCCTGAAATGGGGCTCTGGAGAAGTCTCTTGAACAGCAGCTGTTCCGTACTGCATGGCAAACTGTGTTTAAAATGGAAAGGAATTTCAAAAGCGGGTGATTGATATGGCAAAATAATCTGCTCTTCATATGGACATCAAAAGAGCCCTGCTGGATCAGACAAGTGATCCATTGAGTCCAGTATCCTGTTTCACACAGCGACTAACCAGTTGCCTGGAAGGCCAACAAATAAGGCATAGAGGCCAATGCCTCTTCCTTAATGTTGCCTCTTTGTTCTAGTGTTCAGAAGTCTGCTGCTCTGAATATGAAGGTTCCCTTTAGTTGCTCTGGCTTGTAGCCGCTGATGGACCTCCATCACTCCATCTAATCTTTTTAAAGCTATCTTTGCCCGTCACTAGGTCCACTGACAGTGAATTCTACAATTTAATTGTTCATTGCGCACAGATTTCCTTTTGTTCATCCAGAATCTATTGCTAATCAGTTTCAGTCATTGCCCTTAAATCTAAGAAATCCCAGTGGATCTACTGGCCCAAGTCCTTTGGTGCACCTGAAGAAGTCTTTGAAGCTTGATCCATACGTCTAATTGTCAAATATCCATGATTTTCCAACCATCCAGTATTGTATTGGCAGAAATTGGTAAATGCCTTTATCACATAACCAGTAAGAGGCACCTAAAAATCTACTGCATTTCAGATCCTGATAGATTTTGTCCACTGCCTCCATTCTCCACTGCAAGACTCTGGCTTGGCTATGTCTGTGATCCACCAGACTCCTCTGGGTTCTACCTCTGGCTCTAAAGAGTTTGTCCAAGCTCTGCTTAGCCAGTTCTGGGTCTGCTCAATAGGCAGTATTCTCAAAAGATAAAAATGTACAAGCAATCAGAAATTACTATGGTTTCTTCTCCCATAGCTTGAATCCGGCTTACTGGCTAACAAATTTTAATGTTGCTTCAATAGTTTAACTTCATGCTTCAAATGGGCTGGTCACCATTTATTTTTATTTGAATACATTCACCATTGTTTCAGGAAGGAGAGGGCATGTGGCTTTAGTGGGGACATGTGGGGTTAGTGACATCACTGGTTTCTGGCCAATCAATGCTATGCACACCCCTGATATTCTCTGCGCTAGATCCAGGACAAAAGAACATACATTTGAACAAACGTGGTGAACTGGCTTACCACTCAGATTATTTATTTATTTTATTGTATTGTATTTATACCCCGCCCTCCCCGCGAACGGGCTCATGTGCCTATAAGGCACCCACAAATCAGTAATTGGCAACCTTAATAATGTAGTCTCACAATTAAAAGAAATAGCTTAATGGTTTCCAGTTATTTCCACAGTGGAATTCTAGACCTTTGATATTAACAAGAATTTCAGGGATTTTTTTTCTGTATTTCACTGGTTGAAAATACATTCCTTTTAACTATTTCCATCACATCGTTTAGACAGTTCTTGAAAAATAACAAGCATCACAGTATGAAATGTAAATTATTATAATTTATTAGAACATTGCCTTTTGGGACTCCTGTTTACATTCAGATTTATTTTGTTATTTAACTGTTCTGTTGACAGAATCATCTCTGTTCTTATTTGGATGAGTAATAAAAAGTTTGTTATGTAAGAAGACAGACTGGTGAGTTTTTCAATTTTCTCTACAGTTCTTCTGAGCAACTGAAAAAGGAATGGCCCAGTACTTATGAGAATCGCTATTACTATTCCTCTGCATTACTATTCCTCTGCATACCACTTTAAAGGTAAAGGTAAAGGTTCCCTTGCTCGAAAGCCAGTCGAGTCCGACTCTAGGGTTGCGGTGCACATCTCCGTTTCCAAGCCGAAGAGCCAGCGCTGTCTGAAGACGTTTCCGTGGTCATGTGGCTGGCACGACTAAACACCAAGGCGCATGGAACGCTGTTACCTTCCCACCGAAGTGGTACCTATTTATCTACTTGCAATTTCTTGCTTTCGAACTGCTAGGTTGGCAGGAGCTGGAACTAGAGACGGGAGCTCACTCCATCATGCGGCAACCCGGGTTTCGAACTGCTGAACTACTGACCTTCCACAGCCTGCAGTTCAGCGTCTTAACCACTTGAGCCACCGCAGCTCCTTGCATACCACTTTACAGATAAACTGAAGACAGGTCACTGCCGCCATGGTGTTTACGATCCAGATTTTGATAGTGGAGAAGACAACAAAGGAGAAGGAATGGACATGAGCTATTAGTTAAAGTTGGAGGTGAAGAGCAGGGTTACCTCAAGGCGGGCCCTGGAGTTCTAGCACTACAGCTTGGAAGCAAATGTGGAGAACAACATCTCCTCTTTACACATTCCACAGTACGCACAGGTTAGGTCTGGGGTCCCTACCCTGCATCCTGTGTAAGAGTTAGGCATCAAAGGTGTGTGTGTGTGTGTGTGCTCTCTTCTTGATAAGGTTGCCAACCTCCAGGTGGTGGCTGGAGATCTCCTGGGATTACAACTGACCTCCAGGCGACAGAGATCAGTTCACCTGGAGAAAATGGCCACTTTGGAAGTTGCCCCAAACCCTGCCTTCCTCAAGCTCCACCCCCAAAATCTCCAGGTATTTCCCAACTCAGAGCTGAAAACCCTAGTTTCCTGCACATGTGAGACCCAATTCAGATCAGGGTTGTGGTGCTCATGAAGAGGCTTCAGTCTTTCATTCCCCACACATATTTTCCCAATCTGAAACAGTCTGGAGGGGGGGAGAACGGGCAGGTTTTTCTCGGAGGACGTACCGGAATGGAGTTCTGGAACCTCTTCAACAAAATTCTTTTTAAAATGCTTAAAAGTTCATGAGTTTTCAGTATACAGATTGAAAACTTCATTTCCCTCTTGAGAGTTCTGGCACCTCTTTTTCCCAAAAAAGAGTCCTGGGGGAGATTATTTGATGAATCGGTGAAACATTGTGAAGACCTTGGGTTCTGTTATTAGAGAGTCAACATGGAATGTTTCCTTCAAGAGTTGATAAGTAGTAATTGATAAGAACTGTGATCGCTACACACTCAGATAACGTAAATATTGTGAAATGAATTGTTTACATTGCCCAGCATGCCACTTAGCATGTGAGCGATAATAGAAGAGAATTTTCTACAGAATTACTACAGTAAATGATTTTGCAACGTACCTTTATTGACTCTTCGTTATTTTTGTCACGGATGTTGTGTTTGGATTTCCATTTCCTCCCGTGATCTCTCATTTTTGGCTTCAACCTCCAGGTAGTGGCTGGAGATCTACCATTATTACAATTTATCTCCAGGCCACAGAGATCAGTTCACCTGGAGAAAATGCTTGCTTTGGAAGATGGACTCTATGGCATTATACTTCATTGAAGTCCCTCCGCTTCCCAACCCACACCCTCCCCAGGCTATCCCCCAGCAAATACCCAGGTATTTCCCAACCTGCCATTCTCTGGCAACCCTATCCATAAATTATGTCAAAGTGCACAGAGTGGATGCTGACATTTTTCAGTTTTTTCCTCCTGCTTCTGATGGCGTGAGCAATGAGGAAATGGTTGCTTTGGGACTTCCGGTGGGTGGATCGGCGATGGTGGGTGCTCTCCTCGATGCCCGAGGAGGCGACTAGCACACCTTCGGCTTGGAGGGGTGCCACCACGGAGCCCTTGTGAAGGGTTCCAGGCCAGGGGGCTTTTGAAGGTTAGCCTCTTTGACGGCTTGATGCCGGAGAATAGAGGCTTCCCTCCGCCCTGATGGTCCAACCGATGGGTGACTTTAGGGTACAAGTCAATCTAACCGGGACAAGCGCAGGAGATAGAGCGGAATAGTGTACGAAGAGAGCGGGGTCAAGATATGACCAACAATGAACGTGAGTTAGAATTAAACGGACTATTTCTCTAAAACGGATTTTCCCCCCCCTGTGGGAAAAACGGAGCACAAGGAGGGACGCCTCCTAAGCGCTTGAGCAGATTAACAAAGTGAAGGGGGGGAGAGGGGAAAGAAACAGCGATTTGTTTTGAGAGACTTACTTGAGCACCGATACTGAACCGACGAGTCTTTCGAGCTCTGGCAAAGCGGTTTTGAACTGTAAACAAAGTGGGAACATGGCGGCTTCTCGAGGGAAGCTGAAACCGAAAGGCAGTCAGAGTCCAAGACCGGAAGAGGGAGCAGACGTCATGAAGATGTTGGCGAATATGCTGAAGCCGGTACTGGAGCAACTCGGTGGTATTAACCAGCAACTGGCCACGCTAAACCAAAACTTTGCTCTGCAGCAGCGCCAGCTGGCAGAGATGGAGAAGAAGGTGGAGCATGCAACTGAAAAAATCACAGAGATGGACACTGCAAACAAGAAGATGAAGAAAAGAGTGACATATGTGGAAGTTAAGCAAAAACTGCAGGAGAATCGTTTGTTACAGCTGCAAATGGATAAATCCAACATGATTCTCAGATTTCAGGGAGTGCCTGAAAATGAAAAAGAAGATTTGAAGAAGACTCTGGGT